ACTAACTATGGTAGCAATTCATTAAAGTTGCAGGATGCAAAATCCTATCTAATAATAGGCAATCATGGTAATTAACCATACCTTCGCTACCATCGCCATTGGCTGATCAGCATGATATGCAAATTAACTGCCAACAAAGATGGTGGCTAATTTGCATACTGCAGGCAAGGCGGGACACCGGGAGCTTCCATGCAGGCCCCCGTGTGCGACCCCAAAAGCCGCTGGAAAGCCAGGCCGAAGGCAAGGCGGCCCCCTGGGACCCAGGAGCCCATCAGCGAGGTCTGCAGGTGAAGCAGTGATCAAACTCTGAGGGGGAGGGTGGGGGGTTGAAGGAGCTACAGGAGCAGCTCTGGCCAGAGACTGAAGACTCCGGCCGCAGCAAGGAGCAAAGACTGAAGGCTCCAGCTGCAGCGAAGACTGTGTCCAGAGCGAAAATGGAAGGCGGTGGCCAGAGTGAAGGTCTGAGTCCCCGGTGCCAGAGGAAAACTGGTGCTGGCAGCCAGGGGAAAGAAAACCTATTGCACAAATTTTCGTGCAATGGGCCTCTAGTTACTTATAATCCTGTAATGATTATCCTGTGCTTACTTTCCCATGCCTGTAATTCCTACTTTCCCATCTGATCTTGTCCTTCTACACAGTATAAACAGCTGACTTGTGGGGAGGGCAGAGCAGATTTTTGTGGATGACCTGCTATTTTCCCGTGCTGCTGGCAGTGTTGGAATAAACGCTCATATACGATTCAGCCCAGTCTCTGCTTTACTGGCTGAAGTAGTGACAGGCAGCCTGGATCCCCTTGGTGGTCCAGTTACATAATCTCATAATAAGCCCCAGGCCTGGTGCAGCAGCCCACTGTCAGGAGGCAACTTACAACCTTGAGTTAGGGGAACCTGGGCGAGCCTCAGTGTCCTGCTCTGTAAAATGGCAGCAGTAACCACTGCCCTGCTGCACAGGGGCTTCGTGCAGAATCAGTAAGAGAGGCGATCACAGGGGCTAGTGAGGTGCATGGTGCAGAGCCAGCCCACCAGAACATGTGCTCCCAAATGTGCATTCACTGCTCACACACTTTAAAAAAAGACCCTCACTCAGCCGGCTGAGCTCAGTGGTTGAGCATCGACCTATGACCAGGAGGTCATGAGTTCGATTTTCAGTCACAGCACATGTCTGTGTTGCTGGTTCCATCTGAAACCAGATAATCAATTGTGGATGAAGGGGCCACATACTAACCTGACAAGATCAGGGAAGGCCTGCATGACAATTTTGCAAACTCACAGACCTAAAGTAACCATAAAAGATGATCTGAAATTAAACTTTCACTAAAGCAATTATGGTGGGTAGTCACTTCCTAGGCTGGTATCTTCCCTGACAAGGTCAACCTTTCCCTAACCTGAGCTTACTGTCTTTTTTGCATCTATGATAACACGTCATTGAAATGTCAGGGTAACCTGTAACTTCCCTTTTTTCCAGACTCCTCAGGGCACAACCAAATGTGCCTGGGTACCAGGACAGATACCACAAAGTTCTTCATTGTTATTGTTATCATGTTGTTGACAGTCTATCATTTTACTCTTTATCCAATCCCAGATTTCTACCCCTCCCCCCCTTTGCTTTCTCCACTCCCTAATCTATGACCAATGGAGTTCATGCAGCCCACTTACATCTCCTCTTTTGGTTGTAATGTACAAAACAAGGTTAAAAAACTGCCATTCTTCAGGGCGCTATCTCAATACGTTGAGGTTCTGCTTCCCAGCAATTGTTGACAATTTGGCTCAAATAAATTCACAAAAATTCTTTACAGGTTTGAATGTTGTTTTTCACATTAGCAAGAGTATCTTATAATGACTTCTTATAACTCATAGCTAGTCCCCAATATTATATATCTTCCCCTAACAGATCCCCACTAGGGACAATGCAGGAGGCAGCCGATCAATGATTCTCTTTCATCGTTGGTGTTTCTATCTCTCTCTTCCTCTCACTTCCTCTTTGAAATCAATAAAAATACATTTTTTTTAAGAAGAAAGAGCCGTGGGGACTCACCATCCAGGGCCCAGCCCAAGGCATTCAGCTGAAAAGCACCCAGACTTTCTGTGAAAGAGGCGTATTTGCTCTTGTTGTAGCATTGGCCTGAGGGACAGGCATCTAACTAAGCACAAATCTAAGGACCTACTGATATACTCTCCAAAACTGGAGGCATGCTTGCACACTCCCTCTGCCAGGCTCCTGGTTACCAGTGTTGGTTTCTGAACTTCCAAACTTGGCCCAGTCAGTGTTGCTCAGTGGTTGGGTATCAACCTATGAACCAAGAGGTCATGGTTCAATTCCTGATTCCTGGTCAGGGCATACACTCAGGTTTTGGGCTTGATCCCCAGTGGGGGGTGTGCAGGAGGCAGCCAATTGAGATTCTTTCTCATTGATGTTTCTATCTCTCCTTCTCTGAAATCAATAAAAATATAGATTTTTTAAAAAAGAACTTCCAAACCTATAAAGAAGTTTTATAAAACTTTATTTGAACCAAACACAGGATACATCTGTAATCAAGATCTCAACAGGCTGAGATAAATACTCCAGAGAATAACAGTTTTTGGTTTCTTCTATACATTTGAGAGTAAGGAAGGAACATAATGAATATTACATGAAGGTGTGAGAAAGCAAGGGGGGGCATCAGATTGCAGGACAGTTAACAAGACTACATACATGCTCTTTTGAGGGTGGTTGAGGCTTATTTCAAAAGTGTGGTAACCCAGATGCACAGAAACAATGCACAGGGCTTGCTTAAGGCAAAGGTAAACCTTTTACTAAAAAGTTACATGCATGGATTTGACTACTCACTCTGACCTGCCCAGTTAGGGACTGATGATCAGATCACCCTGTGAGGTTACTGTTTATAGAACCCCTTTTTATTATCCACAGTCCCTACCCAGTATTTCCCAGAGCGAGTTCTGTGAACTTGATATCAAACCCAGGTTCAGCTGCCTGCCTGTTTCTCAAGAGCCAATAATAGACAGGGGCTGATGGAAGTGATAACCAGAATGGTGAGCTAAGGTTTTTTCACTGGGGTCGTGTCTCAGGACACTGAAGAATGAGCAACTTGGACCAGGAGATTTATGCAAAAATGTGGAAAATTTATTACAAACAGGTTCAGACTCCCAAAAGGGGAGGGCCCCCAAAAGTGGGTTTCCAGTGAAGCTACTCAATCTAGGGGTATATATGTGCTACAAGTCTGGTCTATGTCTACCTGTATAGCCACCTGATTGATTCCTTCATTGTTCTTGCCCAGCAAAGGACCTAACTTTCCCTGCTCCTGTGTCAGTACACCTTGTTGCTACAGGCTCTACCTGCCTCCCGCTCTATGTCCAAAAACATTCCATTATTGTAGCAGTAGGGGGTCCCTAGGCCTGGCCGGCGATCAGGGCTGATCGGAGCCTTCCTTCCCTGACCTATTTGCCCGCATGTCAAGCTAACTTCTCTCAGAAGGAAAATGGTTTATTCCAAAGCCAGCAGCTTGAGAAGATGGGGAGTTCTCATCACAAAGACCATCTAAACATCTCAGTCAGGCAGGGGTTTTATGAGAGGTGGTAGGGGGAGGCAGACAAAGGAAACCAAGGGGTTTGTGGGCTCTAAATGCTGTGTGCCAGTCAGCATGATCTGCTTCGATAACCTGTCCCCAAGCAGGTTAAGGGTTTGGCCTTTGTCAGTCCAAGGTGAGCAAAGCTGCTGGAGCTAAAATGCCTGAAGGCAGAGTCTGCTTCCTTTGAGGTTAGCTCCTAGAGTCCTTTAAGCAAACAGGCTGTTGGTCCATAGCTGCATGTGAATTCACAAGTCATCATTTACAGAAACAATGTGATCAAACATCTAGCCCCCTTGGTTACATCTGGGTCCTGGTTTTTGTAGGGGCTGCCTAGGGAACGCCCCATGATCACCTGGCTCTTGTGGGGCTTGCATTTATGAGTCCTGAGTGACTGCAGCAAACAGACAGTTGTTGGCTGGCCAACACCCTCAGGGCACAGCAGACAGCAGACTGAGACACACTTGGTGTCTGTCTTGAAAGAGGCCCATTTGTTTGCCTCAGCTCTTCCACCTGAGGGGCTTGCTACTGGTTTGGCTCACATACAGTCAGAGGCCAGTGTGCACAACTTCGTGCTTGCCCTCTGCCTCGCTTCTCAAGCCAGCAGCTTGAGAAGATGGGGAGCTCTCATCACAAAGACCATCTAAACATCTCAGTCAGGCAGGGGTTTTATGAGAGGTGGTAGGGGGAGGCAGACAAAGGAAACCAAGGGGTTTGTGGGCTCTAAATGCTGTGTGCCAGTCACCAGTACCTCCTGGGGGGAGCTTGTGCACTCATCTGGAGCCCCAGTTTTGCATCTGTCACCCAAGGAACACCTCTTGATTACCTGTCTCTGGTGCCCACAGTGTTTGTGTAACATGGGATTCAGTGAGCAGATTCTCCTTGTAGGTTCTTGTCTCACAAAATTTGGAGAATAAAATTCACAGAATAAAATGCCTTATGACATTTCTCTATCCTCTGTAGAAGTAAGATAAGCATTCCAGCGTCTTGGAGCTCTCTCTGCCCTTCACATACACATCCCTCTCCCATGGACCCCCCTTTTCCCTAACACTGCCTGTCCCGTCTCTAAAATCCTTTCACTTGCACTCAGTCCTGTGGAACTGTAGGAGCTGGGCTGCGGGGGGGAGGGGGGAGCAGGTCCTAGCCTACTACACCCCAGCACAGCAGAGAAGCAACAGACTGATATGCCTAGTGTTTCTGTGAAAGAGGCCTGTTAGCGTATCTCCAGAGCTGTGGCCAGGGG